AATATGGGGGTTGTAATAATCGGATTTGAGTAACATGTCGTGTCACCGGATCCTCGCTCTCGTTTCCGACTAGGTAAACTCGTAATAGTTCAAGTATATCAAGTTGACGTGTTTACGTGCAGGCGTAACACAGTGGTCCAAGGGTTAGGTGTTCGCGCACAAGACCGAAGGTCCTGGGTTTGAATCTTACGAAGTGCAGGGGTCGTGTATGAGCACTGCTGATGAGTCGTCCCATACTAGGAGGAAACGACCGTCCTTCAGTGCTTCCAGGTTTCTTTTAATGGTGGTCTAACAATGATCGGTTGATGATTTCAATGTGTACAAATAAGTTAGCCCAAGTTGTTAAAATCGAATTATCACTACAAGATGAGTAGCAGAAGCGTTGAAATGATAATAACAATAATAATAATGGTAGCTATAGTGAGACAAAATTAAACATTGACAAAATGTTTTGAAAAGAAATAAAATAAATTGTAGACTACATCAATTATCGGTACAATTCAAATTCTAATCGATTCGCAATATAATGTGACAATCATTCGATGCAAATGGCGACAACTGTTTCACTCTAAACACGTATAAACATTCTATATGGGGAAATAACTGTGTTAACATAATACCGGATATTGAAAACTGTGTGAAACAAGTGTTGAACAATAACAATGTGAGTATTGATGCTGATTATGACAGTGATTACCATAGGCCATTCTTCATCATGACATTCTTAAGAACGTTAATGAATTAAAACAACAGAGTATGGCTCAAGTTGTAAAAAATGTAAATCACTTGGCAAGAATGGAAGATCAGTTGATGAAGTTGTGAATCGTCATCAATTGAGGTGGTTGCAAAATGTGTCACGAATGCCCAACCACCAACTCTACCTTGACGAGCGATGTTTTGTGATGTAAGGGTAAGCGGAAAGAAAGCTAGGGGCGGCCAAACCAAAATATGGTACAAATCCATGAAGTCATTGACAATTAGACTGAACTATGTTAACAGGTGAAGACTACCTGGTTCGGATCCGCCAGACAATGGTAACTGAAGGTTGGAGACTTTGAATGACATGGCGCAAGTGCATCCACTCCTTAGATTCTCTCAAATTATAATCTTCTGTATTCCTCATCACATTTATCTTTTTCTTTGTAAGTTCGTTTCAGTGGATTATACTTCTTGAATAATCTTTTCGAATCCTAATCTTCTCCATTACCGTTATTACTTTTACTATTTCTACTAGTAAGGGATTTGAATTGATAATTCAATTCCGCTGTGCCAATGTGGTATGGCTACTTGAAATGATGTACGCACGTACGAAGTTCTACATTGTGGTTGACTGACTGATTCATATAATCAATTCAGCTTTTTAGATTCTGTATACTAAACTGAAATCTTTATGTATGAAGTAACACGATATATGTTAAATCCAAATAGTTGGACATGCACGTCGATTCGTAATGTTATGGTATAAAAGTTGACTACCTAGATTGGTAGGAAGAATCACAGCCATGCTGATTATTCTAATTTTTGAGCAAATGGTGATCGTGTGTATGATTTGTTACCGAAATAGATAATAAACCGAACACTGATCATTGCTAACAATATGTTTTCCAAAAAGCTTAATGTTACGCCTGCACGTAAACACGTCAACTTGATATACTTGAACTATTACCAGTTTACCTAGTCAGAAAACGAGAGCGAGGGTCGAGGATCCGGTGACACGACATACTGCTCAAATCCGATTACCCCAACCACCATATTGAGTAAAAATAAGAAGACATTAATGTGAAGTAGGACCTGTATTCTACAAGCATCCAGAAAGTACGAGGTCCGAATCCAGAAGAGAATCAGGATCCCGGACTACGGATCCGGGACCAGGTCCTGGTCTTGGTCGTGGTCATAAAACGTTACACATAATGCGTATTTATACATTTTGGTCGAATAGGAAACAGCATCGAAGTCTGTGACATTGACAGTTAAGACGACCAATGGGAAGTAACATTTGAAGTGACACTGATAGTCAGGACAACCAATAAGAAACAAGATTGGAGCAGGTGACATTGATATCTAGGACGACCATAAAATTGACCAGTAGGAATTAACCAATAGGAATTGACCAATAATTCTCTTAGGATATTGGATGAATTTCCTAACACTTAAACTAAAACTGTTTGAGTAAACCAAAAGCACTCAAATTAATTGTAATTTTCACAACACTAGTAAATATAGAGATATTCAATATGCTAAACATTTTCAACTTAGAGCATACTTGTAGTTTATGATGAGAATTTCGAAATTGTTGTATTTTTTCAGTTGGGGATGGTTGAGTAGTTAAGTTTTCATTGTCTTTCTAGATATAATCTGTGCATTTTTCAAACAGAATTCTTTTCCGCAGCTTAAAAGGTTTTTCTGATGACCATGAGATTCAAGTGATGACTGTCCACAATTGTGTGAAAAACACGAATGAGTGGAAGCATTGTTCTGTGTATTCGGTTAAGACGGATAGACTATTCTGTGGTAAGGGTAATAATAATACCTGGTGGCTTGAAATGAACTGGATGAGGTATAATTCAAAAGTACAGCTTTAAAAACTAAAACCGAACGTCCACTTTACGAGAGAGAAACACATCATCACACACATTCAAGTGATCAGTTTATTTGGACGTAACTAATTCCTATTAGTGTATATAATATTAATAATTGGCGGATTGTTATACCTTTGTTACAGTTTATATACAGTAGCATCTCAACTAACTAATTTATGCTTTATATAAAATTAACAAGTCATGAGATGAATAAATTAAAAATGAAACTACTATATACCTCAGCTGTCAGCTTGCCAACCATTGGATCATAAAATTCAACATGATTACTTTGGCGCACAAGAAGTAATCGTAAGAATGAGTTTTGACTTTCACTGGATACACTGTCATTACTGCTCTTCACATTGTAAAGATTCAAATGACTGATAGAATGTAGTCCATAGTCGATTGAATGACGATCTAACGCAGTGGAACCACTAGAATCCGATTGAGGAGTTCGATCTAGGGGACCTTTGATTTCTAAAACACAACGCCCAGTATCTATATCCCAGCAACGTAGACAACCCCACTGACCACCAGTCAATAATAGAGAAGTATGGGTTTCAGAGAACTTGTGACCCAAATGATTTGTTAACGCGCCAATAGGAAGGAAAGCACAGGCTTCTAAGCTCTAGAAAAATGAAAAATAAGACATTACAAGTAGGAATTATTTCAGGCTTTTTTTCAATTAAACAAAGACAATTAAACAGAAGAGAAATAGTAAAACTGGTCATTGCCGATAGCGATTAGGAAGCTGACAAATGGATGTATTAGAGTCCAAACTGGGACGAAATGTATTATCTGAAACTTTTAAACTACGCTACATCACAAGAGTAAACTAAAATAAATAGGAAGCTGGTTAAATAAGCAACGAATCCATAGAAAAATAAAACGGTAATATAACTTTTCAGACGTTAGATGGTTAGATGGTGTTTGACTTCATGCTGTTCCTACGGGTTTGCAACCAATGACATTGAGAATCTAATATCTAAGAAACCTACATCCAATTAATGTCTTAATCATAAGGTGATCATCTAAATATTGCTAGCCCACCTAAAAACTGACCAACAACATATCGATGTTTGCAAGATTAGAGACAGAGATTACACTGATGTGTGCCAAGTCGATTATGTCAGTATCATATTTCGCTAAATGGATTTAACGAGTATAAAATAACTAAAACATTCAAGTAGAATTTTAAGAAGTTGGAGGTAGCTGGTAGAGGATACTGCTTAGCATACATTTTGTGGTAATTTATGCTTATCAGTCTGGCGCGTTACTACTAAGCTATTCAGGTCGTGAATGAATTTCTGGAGGGTTAAGATACTTTCACTGACAATTGGACAGTAATCGACATCATGCCTACCTTATCATCATTGCTTAGAGTTCCCAGTTTGAATTCAGAAAGCAACATCAGTTTCTTCAAGATTACAGCCATGTCATTCAGGGTCTCTAACCATCGATTATTATCATCTCGCGGACCGCAACCAGGTAGCCTAAATCTACCAACATGACTCAGTCCACTTGTCAGTGACTTCATGGATTTCTGCCATGTTTTGGTCTGGCCGCCCCTAGCTTTCTTCCAACGTATTCCTACACCGAAAAATATAGCTCAATGAGGCAGTCGGTGGTTAGAACGGAGCAAACTGCTGCGCAGCACATTCGTCCTTTAGTCAGCAAACGCATATCTCGCCTACACCATAAGTGACGCAGGTTGATAAAATCCAATCGAGCCTTCTGTATCCGAGCTGAGATTTCGTCAGTCACCAGGCCATCTGCACTGATGAGACTCCACAAGTAAATGAAGCGGTCGACACAATCGACTACTTCGCTTCCTATCACTAGTTCAGGTGCAGATGCGACCCAATCTTGAAGCAACATGTTGCATTTCGAGAGGGGAAACCGCATCCCTAACATGCTTGCATTGTCGCTCAGAGTAGTCAGAAGACTACATTTTGTCAGCATCTTCACCAAGTAGAACTATTAGAACTGGACAAACATAATACTTTTTTTAGTGTCCAGGAGTCAATCGCCGTATGTGTAAATATTCCTATACATAACTCACCTCAAAGGTAGGAATAACTTTTTGTTTTGTGAAATCTACAGACGACCATACAATAACAACCTTATCCCGTGCGCACCTGGAAACATATGAGAAGAAAGTTTGTTTCTTACGTAACGAATTCATTTTTTCCAACATTGAAATCCAAACTTGTAATAATGCTTTGATGACCTTCTAAGGAAGAGACATGTTTTCCAGTCTCGGTGTCCCAAACAGCTACAAAATGATCACCTATTGACGATGAGAAAAGGTACGGCAATGTTGGATGAAATTTCAATAGTCTGTAATAGAAGTAAAATTCAAGAAATGTGTTAACGATAATAATATGCGGCGAAAACAGAAGAGAACATACAGATCAATAATAGATTAACAACTATAGACATTTCCTTAGACAGAACCGGTTCAAAGTATAAATCCAAAACTCTAAAGACATGACGAATATAAACACACAACAACCAACACTATGAACATTATCGCACGTGTTACCACTAAGCAGTTTAAGAAACTAGTGTTTTTCAGTAAAACAGATTACTGACACTTTTATGAGCAGCATAATTGTATACTACTAAGCATGTTTCCATAGTGAGTGTACGGAAGATTTGTCAGATAAAATAAGTGATAATAAGCGCGATCAATACAGTTCGTGTAGATCCCATTTTGTACTAAAAATATTTCTCGGTCGTTAGTAATTTAAAAATATCTAACCGTTAGCAAACTCAGAAAAACCAATCTATTGTGATACAGGCTGATAATAACAGGTAAGTAGACGGTCATATTCAAGCATGAAAGGACTAAATAATACATATTAGTATGACACCATGTGACTAAGTTAAAAACTTTAAAACCCCTTAAGGTCACAAAGTTAGTAATAACAGGGTTGGGAAATGACATTAAGAGCTGAAGGTGAGGATTTTATTGTGAACTAACACCAGCCATAGTGCATGAACCTTGAGCCCATATCCGAATCGCGTTTCAGCATGGTAAATTATTCATTTATCTTTGCTGTATTTTGATTGGCCAAGAGGCGTTAAGATCTCAAAGTCGCTAGTAGTATAGTACAGCTCTACGTGTATGATTTTGAGCTGCATCGTATGAGCTAGCAATAACGACTAGTCTCAGGGTTTAGACCCTCAATTTTGTAAATAGAAGTCGACTGTTTTGGTCAATGAGTCTGTCACAATATACTAGTCATGAACAGCGAAGAAATCGTCACGAACATCTCCAAGTTACCATACTTCTCATGGCACAGGGTAAGAAACATGAGCCGATGGAACCTAAAAAAGCACATAGAAATGTCTTATAGATAGGTAAGGGCAGCAGATCAAAGACCAACTAGCTAAATAGTGATATTTCAAGATGGAATTTTACAACCACACAGCATAATCAAATGTAATGTTTTAGATGGTGGAGACTTAATGAGTGCAAAATATCATATTGGTAATCATATCTGGAGTTTTTCCTGTATGATTATTAGAGTGCCGTCATACAAAAAAATGTATGCAGTTAATCGTAGTTATACACTTACATAATAACATGAAGTGACGCTTTATCATTTTATATTGTTAGAGTGACAATGACAACTCAACTAGCACAATACTGATCAAATTTGTATCTTCTTAGTACATTAATACAGTATTTCTTCAACATAAGGATCTAAAACTGTTCTCTTCTGAATTGTTCATTGATTTAGTCAAGCCCAGGAACATTATTATTATTATTATTATTTTGTGGTATTCTAAGGAAAAGATCGGATTCAGTGTTCGGAATCCAGGGAACCAATAGATCACGCGATAGGCTTTAGCTGATGTAGTGCATACCTTAGTGATCTACGGCAACCGATGCCCTTATAAACAGTTATGACATATAAAATGAAACTTGAGTGTTTACCATTCGAATTACTGTTGAAAATACGTATGGCACCTGGAATTTGTCAAAAATGTAATTACAGTTCTTGAGTATGATAGAAATAAGGGATCATTGAGCAAATATGAGATGAGGAAACTCAGGACTTTTCGATTGTCCTAGACTAAAATAGGTGGATACCAAATCAACTAAGGAGATCTTTTGCTAGCACATGAACATTTCAACTGAAGAATACTTATTTGGATGGTTCGTTTGGGGAGCTATGAATCACTAAATTGTTTGAGTTAACGCAAACGTCCAATGTACACCAATTTTAAAGATTGTTGAGCTTATTTAGTGGTAACCTCTACAAGTACTAATACGATAATTTGCATTGTATCAACTTAAAATAATTCACATACGTTATCATCCCCTGGTGCAATCGACAGCTTGACGAAAAACCTTCCTTTGGACCGATATGCCATAGTCGAACAACCATATCTCCTGAACCTGTAGCTAACCGTGTTGAAGATTTGTTAAGTGCCATTTTCTGAACGATTCTTTGGTGACAAGACTAGCCAGTAATTCAACGTCCTAAATGAACAACTTACCATCCAAACTTTTGTAGGTCTTAAAGAAAGGCCATCAAGGCGTTTTAAAAGCAAATTTTTGGTAGCAATAAATATTTCCTAAAATATAAGAAACGTTGCAACGTGTATTTACTGATTCGGCCTCATCCACAACGAAAGATGTGATATACTCATCATCCTGAAATAAAAAAGGCTATAAAAAATTTACCTGCACTCTTTTGACTAAAGTAAATGAATTTCCATCCAGTACATTAATACATAGCGAATCGTCAACATCTCTTCCACAGTAAATTCTTCCCGACTCAGTGTACTAAGTATTTTTATAAATATATTATATGATTCACTTACGAATATTGGATATTGTGAATTAAAGAAAGGCTGGAATTTATCTTCTAGTTTAAACCTACAACTTATTATTAGAGTTTAAGCCTACTTTAGTTTGGTAGCCATGTGACTGCAGTCAATACGAGCGCCGACGTTAAGGTGAAGTCAAGGTCTCTTGCACTTCCAATATCCAGTATCTTTTTCACGAGCTAGTGTAAACCAATTTGATTTCTTCGCTCTCGATTCTTGTTCTTTCAGTACGGTTCCAGGTGTTCGGTAATGTCCAATCGATGGAGGTCTAGCCGCTCGACTTTCTAATTCTAGTCAGTTGGCAGTTGGTTGTGAGTTTGTATGTCTTGGGATTTGAATGAAACGTTTGTTTCAGGGCAGTAGGGTTTCTGGATACTAGCAGCCGTCACATTACCAAACCGGAGATCAGTTAGCTGCAATGTGGAGAGTAATAAGGGTAATAAGGATAAAATTATAATGTTAATATGAATAAAATTTCAGAACTGAGTAATATGTAGCTCAATTTAGTTTGTTAATTGGCGGTGAAAATTGTGAGAGAGGACCGAAGTGTAAGCAAGGGAGAGGAAACAGAGATAATAGGCGAGATAGATTGATTGAGTGATCTGAGGAGATGGCAATGGTAACAACTAGCATGTCTCAAGATATGCATCATGAACAGATTGTCCTAGAGGGAGATGATAGTCCGTATGTGAGTATGTGATTATCAAGTCTCTTCTTAAAGCTGTTAACTGAGGGGGCTGTGGTTACCTCGGCTGGGAGAGCATTCCAAGTTGCGACGACTCGCAATGAGAAAAGGTGTGCACGAATCTGAATATTTGCTCTTTGATGTGCAACCTTTCGAGGATTGCCTCGAGGGGAGTGGTGGTGATGCATCGGTAAGATGCTCACTTTGGGATGGTTTGGCGTGTTTAATATGGTGTACGCCATAACCAGATCACCTCTGATTCTCCTGTAGCTCAGTGGGAATAATCCCAAGAGCTGGAGTCTGTCGTCGTACGGTTTATTTTTCAACCCTGTCACCCATTTGGTTGCTCGTCTCTACACTCGATTCAAGAGATTTATGTCTCTTTTAAGCAGAGGGGGTGCGATGACGTTGTGAACCTCCAAGTGTGGGCGCACGTATGTCTTAAACAGGGTTAAAAGTAATTTCGGGATGATAGCACCAAGCTGTCTTCGCATAAAGTGAAGAGTCGCATTTGCCTTGGCTGCATCCCCTACTTAGTTTGGACTGGTGTGGAGGCTTTCTGCGGTTATGAAACCGAGATCACGCTCTGAGGAGAGATTAGGGAGCGAACTTCCATTGAGGGTATAGGTAGTTTGCGTCATATGAGGCAGGAAATGCATGACGTGGCACTTCGGTTGGTTGAGTTTTAAACCGTTTCTCACTGCCCATTTCTCAATAGATGTGAGGTCCTTTTGAGGCTCAGTCGAATCCTCTTCGCTTCTAATGGACCTCCAGAACTTCGCATCGTCTGCGTGGATCTGCGTGGAGCTAACTGAGCCTAACAGGTCGTTATTAAATATCAGGAAGAGAAGTGGGCCTAGGATGGTCTCCTGTGAAACTCCCGATGTGGATACTTGCCAACTCGCGTGCACTCTGTTTACCTTGGTGTGAAACTTTCTATTCTCAAGGTAGTTTCTGAGCCAATATAGGAGTGGGTTAGTGAAACCCATTTCCACATCATTTTCGGTTAGGCGTGCGTGGGGCACTGTGTCAAAGGCCTTTGCAAAGTCGAGGAATATTACGGTCTTAACAGGATGTCCAACTGTCCCATGCGATGAGAAGATTAGATGCACACAACCTGCCTTTCCGAAACCCGTGTTGAGCATCATGAAGTATTTTATTCTTTTCCATGTACTCCCTCATTTGTTCGTCCACTAGCCCTTCCATAACTTTGATAATATTGGTAGTAGTGCGACTGGTCTGTAACAGGCTGGGTTCTTTAGTTTCCTTAATACTAGGTCAAGAGTGATACGGATGTTCCCTAAGCCGTCAGCTGGCAATGGGTTGGCGTAATACTCTGAACATGTAGGCGCCTGGTTTAATTGATCAGCAAAGGTGGTGTTGAAGATCTCGGCCATCTCTAGGTTGGTGAGGTCTTCCCCGTTTGGTCCTTTTAGAGAACACAACCCTTGATTAGTAGGCTTTATTTTCGACGTGAACCTAAACAGATTTTTCGGGTTTGCCTCTGTTTTGGCGGCTAGCTTCGTCTGGAATTGTCTCCTGTCGCTTCGAGCTTTGGTATTGCATCTGTTTCTCAATGCCGAGTAAGAACTGCGATCGGAATCCTTCAAGGAGACCTTCCACTTGTGCCAGGCTTTCCTCTTCGCCTGCAGCAAGCGTTCAGTGCCGCGCCTAACCCAGGTCCTTCTGTTCTCGCGTTTTCGGTGTGACTGAGGTACGTTGTCTATGACAGCGTTTTGGATGATATCTCTCACTGCTTGCCAGTGATCATCTACTGTCAGCCTCCACCACTCCCGTGGCCATGGGGCATGTAGGAGCACCTCTCTCATGCGTGTATAATTTACCCTATTTTAGCAAAGATAGAGCTCGTTTTTGTCCTATGTGAGTATCTCGTTTATCACCATGTTACACAAGACTGTGCCATGGTCACTACTTCCTAATGGTGCGCGGACGTGAACATCCTCAACCATGAGCTGGTCATTAATTAACAGATAATCCAGGTTTAAGGACTTCCCTTCCTTAGTCCACCTAGTGGCACTGCATACGTGCTCAGTCAGCCCAGAGCTTCTAATGGATGTACTAAGTTGTCTTTGGAACCAACCAGTGGGAGTTATACTGTGATTGCTGAAATTTAAAGATGGGGTATTGAAATCTCCAGTTAAGAGTATTTGATCAAACCCCAGGAGTGGCAGTTGCAGTATTACCTCAATCAGTTTGCTTTTCTGGGCCTTAGTACCCGAGGGAGGTCGATAGATCCCTCCAATCAAGTATTTCGTGCCATTCGAGTGGAAACAACACCAACATGATTCTGTCACCTCAGTTAGTTGGGTGTTGTATAGTCGCTCTGCTATTAAGTGGCTATATATTTATATCGCCACTCCACCTCCAGTCTGTTGTTCCCTATCGCTTCGGAAGAGTGTTATGCCTGGTAAGCTCACTTCTGCGTCTGCAATGTCAGGGGATAGCCATGTTTTAGTAAGGATTATGATCTTCAGATCCATCTGAGAGCACATATTCCTGATTTCTAACAGCTTACCCCTTAGTCCTCTTACGTTGCTATAGAGGCACTTGGTGGTTTGTCTCCGCACCTGGTGCACATTTGCAGCAGCACCCGTAGTCGGATTTTCAGGCAAGTTATTTAAACTGAATCAGCCAGTTCTGTGGGAACTGGCCTCTGCAGGTTTTTTGCCTGCGCGGTTGGTTCAGTCATGTCTTGTGCCAGAGGTAGTTGACCGAGTTTAACTATCAGTTGTGTGCGTTCATTTTGGCCTCCCTGCTGCTGTCTCGCAGATCTAGGTCGGTTCTCGCAACATCTGATGTTGCTAGGTAGATCGTTCTTCGAACTGTACCAAGCTTGTAGTGCTTCGGTCAGGTCTTCCCGGTTCCTAAATGTTACAGCCATCACGCGTGGTGACTGGATAGACGTAAGGTGTGACGGGTGGGGCAACCTGGAAATGCAAACTGCCATCGTGGTGTGGAGGGATAGGCTACGCGATAGCCATCGCCACTGCTGCACATCGTGCTCGTGAGCTTCGTTCGGGTTACCGCTGGTGAGTTCGGGTATACCGTGAACTACCATGGTGGTCTGTTCTTGGGTGCCTGGCGCAGTTCTGGCTGCTGCAGGTACCGACCACGGCTTGTCATGCCTGATGCGAATCAGCGAGGACAATTTGACCGATGGTCTTTGGGATGAAAGGATGATGTCTTCAGCAAGTCGTGCAGAGTCAAGAGTTACCCTCATTGAATGAAGTTTTCCTTTCGAGGAATTTTGGCCTTTGAAAAGGCGGCATATTTTGCTGGAATGTTGCACATTCCGAGGGTTGTGCAGTGTTTATCACACTGCTCTTTGTCGAAGGCAGCCCAACCTTCTAGCAGGCTTTCTTCCGATACTGGGACATTAAATAAAATAAGTGAGTTTGATCTGTCGTCCCTGTTCTTGGGTGGTAGCCGCTTGTGAGTTAGGGTGTTGCTACTTCCCTTCTTCACGTTCACCCACTGTTTTGTATTGCTAGCAGATACAGGGGAGTTAAAAACAACCCGCAGTTTTGTGGGTGGTAGGGTTGTGGAAGCCTTGGTCATTTGTTTTACTGGTTTAGTGCCAGGCGATTTCGGTTCGGTCGTTTGGATTTTAGGGCTGATATTGGGTGGGACCTGTGGCTTTGTCAGTGCCTCAGGTACTACACACCGAGGGCAACTGTACCAGAACCATGGGCAGGGGTGACTCAGCATGAATCCGTAGCACTCTTTTGGTACTGTGGTGTTGCAGGGACAATGTACCCATGTACTACAGAAGTTGTATTCGAAAGCACGGTCGCCGATTTTGACTGATAATGAGCAGGCAAAACAGTCATTCCTATGCTGCTTCTGGGCGTTGGACTGTGTCGACTGAGCCTTGGATCGTCTTTTTCTCCTATTCTTAACTAGCTTACGGGTCTTTTTCGGAATAGGAGTGGTATCTTGCTTCCTCTATGGTGTCTGCGTTGAATGATCTAAAGTATGGACATTGAGAGGCGTACTACCGACTGACTGTTTTGGTTTTTTAACAACCCGTTCGCACGATATTGGGATTTTCGACGCACTATCGACTCCGGGGTTTATGCCTCTACAAGTTTTCCTGGTTGTTATAGTGTAATGTGTACTAGCGACCTTATTGCTTTACATGATACCAGGGAGATTAGGAGGTGAATACCGAGATAATTAGAATACGAAATACACAAAAAAGGGATTAAAGGAAGAACAAATTTAGTAGTATGTAATAAAACTACAAGGAATAGAGCCTGAAAGTACTCCAAAATTGCAACTTTAACTTGACCGTATTAGTAAGTAACTTTGAGCATATCCAGTAACTTGTCCAAAAGTACTGTGTTTGTGAGTGAGTGGATGTATGTATGCTGCCGAAACAACTAGAAAT